AGTGAGGGGCCATGAGGACTCCACAAAAACAGGGGAAACCCAAAGACAATTGTTTACTTTTGGAAGCTTAAGATAAGTTTGAAAAAAAAAAAAAAAAAGGAGAAAACCGTGAAACTAAACGATGCAGATGAGACTGTACCATGTAATAAAGTAAAAAATGTTTTTGCCCCAGTACAGATATGTCGTAAAAGCAGATCTTGAGGCCAAAATGAGACTGTTTGGCGCCACTAAAAAGGACAAAGGACAAAAAAGCGAAAAAACACTAAACAAACAACAACACCAGGATCATGCAGAAAGGGTTAATACGAACGTTTTAAGACCAAAATGAGGCTCACTGCAGCAGTTACACAGCCTGATCCATCAGACGGTTTCACTTCATGGAAACAGTCTGACCTCGCTCGACAGTAGGCAGTAGGGATGGGCATTCGATGAAATTTTCTTAATCGATCGTCGAGAGAATTAACGATCGATTAATCATTAACGTTTTTATATTAAAATGATCATAATTATTATTACTATCTGCACTACTAATCTGCATAAATAAATTCAACTTTACGACAAATAAACCGTAACGACTCTAGAGCCACATCAGCCATTGACATTATAATGTGTTTAATTCAGTTTTGTTCAACTCTCACAGAAACGAAACTTAAAACCGCATCGCTTATTTGCATAAACTAAGCGAAGATACAAACTGCAGCTCTTGTGTCGCTGATGTGGTTCAATTTCTGTCGGATTAAAAGACATGACTCAGGTGCAGTGTGTGTTGACTCGACGCAGAACTATAATTCAGCCTTAAACAGTCTTTGCTGCCTCCCACTGTTACATAATATTCTGTTATATGTACATTTTTATCTATGCTTAGTCCTAGCTTGATTGCACAAATTGAAGTCTTCTCAAGCACAATAACAACAAAATCTCCCGTCTTATTCTCCCTAAAAACTGCTAACCCTGTAGTTTAGATCTGTACAAACACATCCTGAAATTAGATTCTTGTCTAAGTGTGCCGCATCACATTTCAGTCTTTTTGTCAATCCTTCTGGACGCACTTGAAATATGAACTCTGAACAGATCCAATCACAGATAAAAAAAAAAAAAAATCACATTTATTTTATTTTCTCCAAACTGTTGAGCCTTACAGTTGTCAGACTCTTTTCGTTTGTTATCGCTTTGTCTGGAATGTTTCACAGTGTGGCATTAAACCTTTCTATCGTCACGGAGACCAAACCAGACCAAGTTACAGGTCCGATCTGTGGAGAGGCGACCCCGCTCACAGTCAGAACAGCCTGTTTTTCTGGGTATTTTTGAGCTAAAAAACCACCTGTGATTGCATAAATGTGAGGTAGAGCTGTTTAATGTCACACTGTGGAACATTCCGGGCAGAGCGATGATGTATTCCCAGCTAACTTTGTTTTCACATGGTCTCTTCTGCTGTGGCACCTCAGGCGTGACATAAACAGTTTGTTTGAGGGTGAGATGGTTCAACAGAAGCTTATCATGCAGCTCCTTCTGTCTTATCTGCTCCTCTGACGCCGCACATTCACTTATCAAAAACCACTAGGCCCTACACGCGACCTATACGTCTTATCGTCAATATTCCCTGGAAGTGTGAAGCTAACTGCAACACTACTCTGCTTGAAGCTCTGTGGCTCAAATTTGACTCAATCAGATTTTTTATTTTAATAAAATTTGACCAGAAAGAGCTGACTAAGGCTACGTTCAGACTGCAGACTGAAGTGACCCAAATCCGACTTTTTCACCCCTATGTGACCTGTATCTGATCTTTTAATGACACAGATCAGATTTTTTTTTTCAAATGCGACCCAGGCCACTTGGATATGTGCTCCTAAAACCGATACATATCCGATCTTTTGACATGCGACTTCAGTCTGAACGGAGAGGTCGCATTCATCCCACCTACAAGTCACAAATGTTCTTCTCGTCAAACGAAAAATGTGTCTGAACGCCGTGTCAGTGAAGCAGTGGAGCACATCACAAGCCCTCCACTCTCGGCTGTGACTCTGCACCCGCATGTTCTTTTCTACGGACGTCGCTGCCACTGCCCCACAAAACGCCACGGCCAAAAACTTCGTCCTTCTCAATCTCCTCATGGACGCGAGCATTGAGCACCTGGAGATTTTAAAGTTCCTCTCGTACCGGAGCCAGAACATGAACAACTTACTTGTTTTAAGGAGGAGATTGAGAAGGAGAAGGACGAGGTTTTTTGGTCGTGGTGTTTTGTGGGGCAGCGGCAGCGACGTCCGTTGAAAGGAACGTGTGGATGTGGAGACGGAGCCAAGAGTGGTGAGTGGTGATGTGCTTCACTTCAGTCACACGGAGTTCATTCACAATTTTCGCCTACTTCAGCGCAGAATAGTGACGTTTGTGGCTTGTTGATAACGTGTAGGTCGGATAAATGCACTTTGACCGTTCAGACTGAAGTCGCATGTCAAACTAGAAAAGCACTCAGAGAGCGCAGACCTCCGCCAAGGACCACCCCCATTTTTTATATAAATTGCGGTAAAATCAGTCTTCTGGATCAGATCCGGATCAGCCTTTGGAATATGAAAGAGGATCCCATTGTCCATCCCTGAGTCAAATTTCATGGGGTTTGGTCAATAATTAACCGAGATATTGAGAAACAAAATTTTTGGCCCCATTTACCACAATGTTAACTAAAATTTCAAAGTGATCCAGAATCCAGGATTTCTTCCGGATCACCCCCAAAATGAAATCAGTTCTTCCTTTTCACATTTCCAACAAATCCTGAAAATTTCATCAAAATCGGTCCATAACTTTTTGAGTTATGTTGCTAACAGACAAACAAACAAACAAACAAACAAACAGACAAACGCCGGCAAAAACATAACCTCCTTGGCAGAGGTAAAGATCAGATATGTATCGGATTTAGGAGCACATTTCCATGTGTCCTGGGTCACATTTGAAAAAATCGGATCTGTGTCGTTCAGACTGTCATTAAAAGATCAGATACAGGTCACATAGAAGCCAAAAAATCGGATTTGCGTCACTTCAGGCTGCAGTCTGAACGCAGCCTTGGCTATCGTGAGAAAAAAGCGCATTACAGTCGTCTAAACGAGAGCAGCGAAAAAGCGCGAGACTTGTTCAAGAGTATTAAAAGATAAAAACGGTTTCTCTTTAGATAAAAGCCGCAAATGATAAAAGGAGGATTTGACGACTGCGTTTACTCGTTTGTCAAATTTTAAATCACAAAGTTAATACCCCATACAAGAGTAATACCTCGTCATCTTTACTACACTCCACATCCAGATAGAAGAACTGCAGATATTCTGACATCTCACTGCACCAAAGTCATCTATATTTAGACCGCCACAGACTGAGTGAGTGAGACTGTGGAAAGTTCCCATGCATAGAGGCCGGACCCGCACAGTCCACAGAGGCCCCCGCTTTAAGACAACAACATCCACCCGCCCTATCTCGTGATCTGGCCCTCACAATGTGGCTTTAGCCTTCACTACTCACAGCACCCTGCACGCAAGTTTTCATAGAAGCTGTCGGCCTCCTGAACTGTTTCCTGACGTCCAAGCATAGTCCTCACTTTTCCTACGCAGTCATAGTGTCCTAATAACTCACCGTGATGAGTTTATAAGCACTTAACGACAACAAAAGTGCTAGTGTTACTTCTAAGGATGCACCCCAGGAAGTCTCATAATATTAGAACTTTTATTGACACAAAGCTGTTCTGCAGTTACTTGACAGATAAATAAAAGCGACATCACACATTTGGATCAGTTTTGTCTCATTTTCATCCTGGTTTAGGCCTGGTTCAGTCATGGTTTAGTCCCGGTGTAGACCTGGTTTAGTCCTGGTTTAGTCCCTGTATAAACCTGGTTTAGTCCTAGTTTAGTTCTGCTTTAGACCTGTTTTAGTCCTGGTTCAGTCCTGATTCAGACCTGGTTTAGACCTGGTTCAGTCCTGGTTCAGCTCTAGTTTAGTCCTGGTTTAGTCCTGGTTCAGTCCTGGTTCAGCTCTAGTTTAGTCCTGGTTTTAGTCCTGGTTTAGTCCTGGTTTAGTCCTGGTTCAGTCCTGGTTCAGCTCTAGTTTAGTCCTGGTTTAGTCCTGGTTTAGACCTGGTTTAGTCCTAGTTTACACCTGTTTTAGTCCTGGTTCAGTCCTGGTTCAGCTCTAGTTTTGTCCTGGTTTAGTCCTGGTTCAGCTTTAGTTTAGCCCTGTTTTAGTCCTGGTTCAGTCCTGGTTCAGCTTTAGTTTAGCCCTGTTTTAGTCCTGGTTCAGTCCTGGTTCAGCTCTGGTTAAGCTCTGGTTCTGTCCTGGTTCAGTCCTGGTTCAGCTCTAGTTTAATCCTGGTTCAGTCCTGGTTCAGCTCTAGTTTAATCCTGGTTTAGTCCTGGTTTAGTCCTGGTTAAGTCCTGGTTCAGCCCTGGTGTAGCCCTGGTTTAGTCCTAGTTTAGTTCTGCTTTAGCCCTGGTTTAGTCCTGGTTTACACCTGTTTTAGTCCTGGTTCAGTCCTGGCTCAATCCTGGTTCAGCTCTGGTTAAGTTCTAGTTCCGTCCTGGTTTAGTCCTGATTCAGACCTGGTTTAGTCTTGGTTCAGTCCACATATGGCGCAAGAGTTCAGCATCTTCGCAGTTCTTTAGGTGAGAGTAACTTAAAGTGCTGCCGTGGCCGTGTAATGTCTCACGAAGGTGGTTGCATTATTATTAACAACTCTCTGGCGTAGCAGCTTCCAGCAAATTTTAACAAGACAAACTATTTCCTGTTTACTTGAAGAAGGTCACAGGTCATGGAGGCTAGAATAACACGGATGTCCTTACAGTCTCACCTCTGAAATGCTAAACTAATACAACAGTCCCGTGCATTTCAGAACACGTTTGTAGAGGTCTAAACGGCAGGCTCATCAGCTTTTACACAGAATAACCCCAGAAGACCCCGTACAGACACAGGGACATTTCCTTCTCCACAGAGGATATTATAAATAGTAACATTTGATTTGTTTTACTTACTGTGAACTCCATCTGATTTTAGAACATCACTGGAAGACTGCATTTCCATTATGTCATCTTGGTAACTGATTACGCAGGGCACGACCTAAAAAAAAAAAAAAAAACTGATTAAAATTGTTCCTGCATGCCGTACATCTTCTCTAACAATCTCACGATCTGCCCAGAGCCGCTAACACTCCCTCCATGCTTCAAAAATACAATAAATCTACAGTATTTAGTTGGTTCAAAAGTTTGGGGTCACTTAGAAATGTCCTTATTTTTGAAAGAAAAGCACTTTTTTCTTTCAATGAACATCACTTTAAACTAATCAGAAATACACTCTATATATTGCTAATGTGGTAAATGACTATTCGAGCTGCAAATGTCTGGTTTTTGGTGCAATATCTACACAGGTGTACAGAGGCCCATTTCCAAAATCTATCACTCCAGTGTTTTAATGGTACAATGTGTTTGCTCATTGTGTCAGAAGGCTAATGGATGATTAGAAAACCCTTGTGCAATCATGTTAACACAGTTCAAAACAGTTTTGCTGGTTAGATTCAGATTCAGAAAACTTTACTGATCTCATAAGGCAATTCATTAGCAGCATCTCAGAGCAAACCCAAACACAAACAAAAACTAGAAAAGCACTCAGAGAGCGCAGACCTCCGCCAAGGACTACCCCCATTTTTTATATAAATTGCGATAAAATCAGTCTTCTGGATCAGATCCAGATCAGCCTTTGGAATATGAAAGAGGATCCCATTGTCCATCCCTGAGTCAAATTTCATGGGGTTTGGTCAATAATTAACCGAGATATTGAGAAACAAAATTTTTGGCCCAATTTACCACAATGTTAACTAAAATTTCAAAGTGATCCAGAATCCAGGATTTCTTCCGGATCACCCCCAAAATGAAATCAGTTCTTCCTTTTCACATTTCCAACAAATCCTGAAAATTTCATCAAAATCGGTCCATAACTTTTTGAGTTATGTTGCTAACAGACAAACAAACAAACAAACAAACGCCGGCAAAAACATAACCTCCTTGGCGGAGGTAATAAAGTGTGTCAGTCCATTGCCGTCCACCAGTGGAACTCAAAATAAAAAAAACAAATTGCAATGTAAAACTTTCATAAAACTGTACCCTTAGAATTTAATAATTTAATAGCACAGGGCACGAAAGAATTAGAAAACCGGTTGGTTTTCCGTATTGGAGCATAAAGCCAGAGGATGGAGCGGCTGAGCCAGGAGACACTCGGCTTTGCTCAGCACCTTGCTCCTCCCACAAAGAGCAGCTCCCTCAGTTTGATCCCTGTGATTTTCGAGCAAGTTTTAACAATATTTTGAAGTTTGTTTTTATCCTTCACAGACAAGGATTCAAACCAGCAAATAAAAGAAAAAGTAAGAAGACTTTCGATAAAAGAACAATAAAAACTGTTAAGAATCATTTTGTTCACATTAAAAGAGTTCAGTTTCCTCAATAAATATAATCTTTGCTGCCCTCCTTATGATGCTTTCAGTGTTTAGGTCAAATTTCAGTTTATTGTCCATCACGGTGACCAAATATTTGTAACTATCAACTATTTCAACATCATCACCGTGGATGACACTAACACTGTGTGAAGGTGCACGTCTATAATCAATCACCATGTCCTTAGTTTTGGCAACGTTCAAATCCAGGTAGTTTTCCTCACACCACTGGACAAACTGCTCCAGTGCAGGACCATGATTTCTCTCAGATCCTGAAAGCAGTGACACCTGGACAGTGTCATCTGAATATTTGATTAAGCGTCAATTTTCCTTTGAGGATCTGCAGCTGTCCGTGTACAGAATAAAAAGGAGAGGTGACAGTACACAACCCTGAGGAGATCCAGTGTTGGAGATGGAGGGAGGTTAGAGAAGCTATAAAACTGACCTTCCTTTGAGCAGGTTGAGTATCTGAATCTGGAATATCACATTTGTGGGGTCAATTAAACGCTCAAAATGGCCAGAAAAAGAGAACTTTCATGTGAAACTCGACAGAAATGACGGCTATTCCGTGCGAGAAATTGCCAAGAAACTGAAGATTTCCTATAACTTTGTGTACTACTCCCTTCTTAGAACAGCACAAACAGGCTCTAACCACAGTAAAAAGAGAAGTGGGAGGCCCCGTCACACAACTGAGCAGAAAGATAAGTACATTAGAGTCTGTAGTTTAGAAATAGACGCCTCACAGTTCCTCAACTGGCAGCTTCATTAAATAGTACCTGCAAAATGCCAGTGTCAACATCTACAGTGAAGAGGCGACTCAGGGATGCTTGTCTTCAGGGCAGAGTGGCCATATCTGAGACTCGAGACTGATCCTTAGTCCAGGAGTTTATGATCCATTGGCAGATCGTGGTGTAATTCACCTGGCGTCGCCTCCCTGTCTTGGTGAATGTGGATTATGAATATGAATGTGGGTGGATCATTTAAGATTGTTTTTAATTACATCAATTAACTACGAGTCACAGTAATTTAGGCTGGTGGCACGATGTCATACCGTCACCTGGACGGTAAAAACAAGGAAATGGAGCACTGTGAGCACTGAAGCTGCAGCATCCGATTTTGAGCCGAGGAAGATGGCAAGTGTGAAAACACTCTTTTCATGGACAGACGACAAGGTTCAGTTGTTACTGAAAGTAACACTGGATTAGTAAGTAGTTCTACCTTCACTGTTTCCCGTTTGTCTCTGGTTTGTTTAAACTATTTTCCCCAGTAGCATCACATGACCAATGTCACGAACCCAGAGAATCAGAAGGGAGCAAGTCACAGTGACGTGGTCCAATAAAGACGCAACTAGAACTCCTACATCAGTGTATCAGTGTTTTCAGGCTTCCACACAGTGCCGGATCAGATCTGTACTCAGATGAATTTGTGGGAGCTGGAGGCACCAGATCGTTCTGTCTCTGGAGCCGTTTTCTATCGAATTAGTGTGAGCGAACACTGCATCTGCAACGAAAACAACTCACATACGTGCTAGTGTGGACGGGGCCTTAGTTGGTTAAAATACGTTGATATGATGTTAAAAACTGATCTCAAAAAAACAAAACGTTTCAAAAACTGGTGAGCTAGATAGCCACAAGAGCAGCCAACCACTCCGTTGTTATTTGAAGAATGTGCTCGGTGATTGTTCAGTGAAGAGGCCGTAGTTTGTTGCTACTGATCTAAAATGACCACGTAAACGCCTGAACACAATATTTTCTTGGCTGTTTTTTACATGATGCAATTGAATGCCTCTCCCAGTCTGCACCTAATGTAAATCAGAGTGCACTGTTACATGCACCAAGTATCTGAGTACATACAGACTTCTCCAGGTGTGTCATTGGGATCTTTGAGATTCCATTTACGTTGCCTCAATCGTAGTTCAAGTGTTTACACACATTTTGATCAGTCGGTTTATTTAAATCAATCAGTCTAAAATGAACTAATGTGCATGTAAACATAAATACTGTATGGCAAACTCTGTGCCAAAAACACTGATATTTTGGTTGAACCCGATGAGTCATGAAAAGTGCGTGTGTTCTTGTTGGTAAATGTGAGACGCTTCCTGTTTGTTAGTCAGAAGCACGACTCAGCACTATCTCACCTCACCGAAGTGCAGCAGTGTGTCCTCTCCCAGGCACGTTATGAAATATGAGCTGCACTGAACCAGGCCTGAGCGCACTCTGCACACAGCCGACAAACTAAAATCATAGACACACAATGGATCTGGCTAAATTTATAACTACTTTGCAGGTGAAATGATATGGCGTATGACAGGGGTTTTCAAATTGGGTGAATGTGAGCCTCCCCTTAGAGTAGGTAAAGAGAGCCTGATAATATATTTGCTTAATATTGTATTTCCAACTTCACGCAGGCCTAACTGTGGCGACTTTTAACATCACTGAACATCAGAAGGCCTATCCAAATCAACAGAACATGCTTAACATTTGAAATCGGTGCCAAAACTACCGCAGACGACTCCTGATGACTTGCCTGTCTTCGCCACACGATAAGATGCTTCAGTTGCCTTGATGTTATTAGTGCCAAACAACTGCATAATGCTTTTCTGTGACTGCAAATCAACACGCTTCCTCTCAAAAAACTCAACTGGCTTATTCATTATATTTGCTTGCTTTGTCTCAGTGTGACGCCGAAGTTTGCAGGGCTCATGCTGTCACTCACAAGGCGACACACTGTGGCAGAGGAACCCGACCAGGTGGAACTAACTTTAAACAATCAGGATCATCTGTCTGTGTCCCTTTTGTGAAACAGCACAATAGTAAACAAAACGTCGAGATGGACCTAGACGAAGACAGACATTCTGTGTTGGCAACGGTTCCCGAGATCGAGGATTTAAAGCTGAAATAAAGAGAATGTTTGGTGAATTTTATCAAGGAGAAGGATGTGTTCACTCTCTGCTTTGTTTGCTGTTGTGCCGGCAATTACTTTGACACCACAGAATGTTCCAGCGCCTTACATACGTCATGACCAAATAGCAGCGGTTGGTTAAGTAAAATAAGTACCCGCCTACCGTCGAGTGAACGAATCCTAATGCTGCGAGGTCAGAGGGTTTCCATGAAGTCAAACTGGCTGATGAATCAGGCTCTTTGGCGCCCCCCAGGGAAGACGAGCCTAACCTATTGAAAACCGCTGGCGTATGGTATATAATGATATGTAATCCAGCTTCTTCAGGTTCAATACAGTTTTCAATGCTACAGCTTTATATAGGGTTATTATGCAAAATCTATATTTTTTAGCTTTCTACAATGTTACAATGTTCCCACAAAAAAAAAAAAAAAAGAAGATTTTTTTTAGATGTCATCCATGCATGTGTGAGTAATTTCCCAGGCCAGCCGAGAGACATAGTCCCTTCAGTGTGTCCTAGGTCTTCCCCGTGGCCTCCTTCCGGTGGGATGTGCTCAGAACACTTCCCGAGCCATCAGAACAGATGCCCGAGCCACCTCAGCTGGCTCCTCTCGACGTGGAGGAGCAGCGGCTCTACTCCGAGCTCCTCCCGTGTGACTGAGCTCCTCACCCTATCTCTAAGGGAGCACCCAGACACCCTGCGGAGGAAACTCATTTCACTCATTGTATCCATGATCTCGTCCTTTCTGTCATTACCCAGAGCTCATGACCATAGGTGAGGGGAGGAACGTAGATTGACGGTAAATCGAGAGCTTCGCCTTTCAGCTCAGCTCCTCTTCACCACAACGGTCCAATACAGCGACCGCATCACTGCCGACGCTGCACCGATCCACCTGTCAATCTCACGCTCCGTCCTCCCCTCACTCGTGAACAATATCAATAATGTTGAATTCTCTCGTCTATTTTCATATATAAGGCATACAGGATTATAAGGAGCATTAAGTGAAACAAATGCTTGAGACTTTTTTATTTCCTACGAGGAGGACTCAAATATACATTAAGTAATAATATGTTTAATGCAGCTTTGTGCAGATTTGTTTAGGTTTTACAGAAATGACACTTAATAATATATATTTTTTTTTAAAGCACTTAAAAAACAACTTCTGTCAGACTAAAGGACACGACTCAGTGGAATATGTGCAAAAATCGGTTGGAATAAGTAAGCATAAGTAGAATTAATATAAAAGGTGCACTGAATTATAAAGCGCACTGTTGATTTTTCAGAAAATGAAGGGATTTTAAGTGCGCCTTATAGTCAGAAAAATACGATACTCAAGTTTTAAACATGGAAAAACAGTAATCAGTGTTTCCCACAGTAAATTGGTTAGGCAAGGTGGTGCTGCTGAAGAAGCGAGTACTGGGTGGGTGTGCGTGGAGACATATGCAGACCTACATGCAGAACGTGACAAGGAAACCCCCCAAAAAATCTCTTGCAACCAGTGTTAGGGAGTAACAGATTACATGTACCGGAGTTACGTAATCAGAGTACAAAATATGAGTAACTGTATTCAGTTACAGTTACTGTTAAAGTGAGTGGTAATTGGATTACAGTTACTTTGTTGAAATAAATGGATTACAGGGCAGTATTTTTTCCTATTTTTACATTTTTAGTAATTCCACTCAATGCTGGGCATGAAACCAGGACTAAAACCAAGTCTAACCCAGGACTAAATCAGGATTGAACCAGGACTGAACCCAGGTCTAAACCAGGACTAAAACCAGGTCTAAATCAGGACTAAATCCAGGTCTAAACCAGGTCTAAAACCAGTTCTAAACCAGGATTAAACCAGGTCTAAACTAGATCTAAACTGGGGCTAAAACCAGGTCTAAACCAGGTCTAAACCAGGTCTAAACCGGGTCTAAACCAGGTCTAAACCAGGATTAAACCAGGTCTAAACCAGGATTAAACCAGGTCTAAACCAGATCTAAACTGGGGCTAAAACCAGGTCTAAACTAGATCTAAAACAGGACTAAAACAGGATTTAACAGGACGAAACCCTGCCACGCGGACTGTGTCTCCTCCTATTCTATCAAGAGTAAAGACTGGGCTTTTCATTTTCTTTTATCAGACAAAACATCTCATGTGTAGAAATCCTCGTCTTTGCTTCTCTACAGCAAATCAAAGTAATCCAAAGTATTCAGATTACATTACTCACTTGAAGTAATTTAATGGATTCCGTTACAAACTACATTTTGGGGTCTGTAATCTGTAATCTGTAGGGAATACATTTTAAAAGTCACCTTCCCAACGCTGCTTGCAACCCACCTGAGGTTCGTGACTCAGTCTTTGGGAAACAATGATCCAAACAACAAAATGAAAACAACATTAATTTCCTTTAAACAAAAATAAAAGAAGACAAAGCTGATCCTAATGTGTTATGTTGTTGTATTGTTGATCTCTCAAGTTATTACAGAACAGCTTTATGTGAAAAAAGTTCAAGCATTGGACTATGAGACTTACTGGGCAAATCTGCGGAAATTATATTTGGAGTTTGGAATATTTGTATTTTATAAGGTGAAATTCATGACGCTGGTAACACCTAATGCTTCGCTCTGTTATTTGTGTAAATCAGGGAGCGCAGATGGAAAGTGTTTCGCTCTAACCTGGAGTGGAACATCTCTGTTTATATGAGCTTAAAGTCTCTGTACATTGTCCTTTCAAATAAAGACTAAAATAAACTGTGTGTTAAACATGTGTGAGTGAAACAAAACACAACCTCCACGTATGTTTGTGATGAAAGAAAATTATAACAGAGATCGGACAGCAATTTTTTAGGTCTTAAATGTTTAGTTCCTGGTTGGAAATCGTGTTACTGAAAAACCATACGGTCCAAAACTCCTCTAATGTACACAGAAATTACAATTTCACAAATACAAATAAGAAGACACATTTATTTTGTTGCAGTTTTGCGGCTTACTGCAATACGCAGAGTGTACATTCCCTGACAGCATCTCCCCAGATACGACACAGAGCGCTGACTCACGCATCAGAGCTCCAGCGCCGGCGTGTGCGTCCCCGTCAGGGATGAGTTTACACTCTTTTCTTCAGCACCCATAAAATTAAGAGGACTTTGTTATTTTACTGAGCTGACTGTTAGTCTAAGAGGATGTCAGATTCAGTATCTGTGCAGAAATGTCCGTCTTTTGCAGCATTATCAGCCACTTAAACATTTAAATGAGTTTACTGGAGATCACTCCCTCTCTCTCTCTCTCTCTTTTCTCTTTCTCTCTCTGTTCTCCATCTGTGAAGCCAATAGCACTGCAGGTGTCTCCTCGAAGACCCGCCCCTCTCCCCTTGATTGGTCAGAATCACGTTGCGCACACGCACAACATATGAAGCTTTTAAAAACATCTGATGCTCTATCTGCTCCTATCGACAGAAAATAAACTTTTAAGATTGTATTACCCAATTAAATAAAAGTGAGACTGCTGACAGACAATGTCAAATGTTCTTCCATCAACTATTCATTTATGACTATTTATGACTATTCATTCATTAATTATTCTTGTCACAGAAAACAGGATATACAATATTGTGAAATATGGACTACGTGTGCAGAAATTCAGTCTGTTGAACAGTGGAAGTAAAGTGAAATGATGTGATGCTAATATTCTACCTTATGTTTAGAATGTATTTTAGTTAGATATTAAACCTATTACCTATTATTAAAACAGGGATAGGTCTCTGGGTTTCGTGGAATAAGTGGAAAAAAGTAGAAAAAAATGAACAAATATTAATCTATGATGATTTTACAGCTGTTTTTGTGAGTGGACATTTATGTCCTTAGGGTCCTGAACGTCCTAAACCTATCACCTTTTACAACTGACAGCATGAAAACGACACAACATCCAGACCAAGTGATTAAGAGAAAAGTGAGAATCCAGGTAAGACACACATGACATGATGAAACCCTCTTGTAGATGACAATAACACCAACACATTCACACATGAAAACACCTATACTGCACAAGAGTGTAATCTAGTATTAGTACAGTGTAATCTAGTATTAGTACAGTGTAATCTAGTATTAGTACAGTGTAATCTAGTATTAGTACAGTGTAATCTAGTATTAGTACTGTGTAATCTAGTATTAGTACAGTGTAATCTAGTATTAGTACAGTGTAATCTAGTATTAGTACAGTGTAATCTAGTATTAGTACAGTGTAATCTAGTATTAGTACAGTGTAATCTAGTATTAGTACAGTGTAATCTAGTATTAGTACTGTGTAATCTAGTATTAGTACAGTGTAATCTAGTATTAGTACAGTGTAATCTAGTATTAGTACTGTGTAATCTAGTATTAGTACAGTGTAATCTAGTATTAGTACAGTGTAATCTAGTATTAGTACTGTCTACAGTACCTACAGGAAGGACTGAGGAGGACTACACATTAGGCCACAGAAGACCAAACCTGGTCTTGACTCAGACACACTAGTTTGGGAGTCACGGATCTAAAGAGATAAACTGATATAAAGACATGGAGAGAGACGGGTAAGAAAGCGCATGCGCATGCATCACTCTTGTATTACCCCCCTTGGTGCTACGCGCCCCTAAACTCGGAAGCCCAGAATCGCCCCTGGTCCCGTCACTTTACCGACACATTCCGCTCAGCTCCAGACGAACCGCGTCCTTCCAGCTTCAGTAAATCCCTCCAGGAGACAGAGCGAGGCGTCGGCCGCGGTGTGTCCGGGGAGGGGAGAGGGGCCCGGGCTGCTGCGCGGGTCCATAGCCGCAGAGAGGAGCGTGTCCCCCGGTGGAGGACGGGAGGAGACACACACCGGAGACAGGGGTCACGTGTGCAGCGGGAGCGCCAGTGAGGAGAGAGCAGAGCGAGGCCGTGCAGCGCGCACATGCACGAGAAGGAGCGCGCCACCAGGGGGCAGCACACACGAAGAGTGATGAAGACACAGAGAGAGAGACGATGATTTGAGCGGCTGTTAGAGGAACTGTCTGGATCGTGTCATATCTGGCTTCATAACCCTTAAAAAAGAAACTATCATTATTACTATACACATACTGCACAAAATGCAGAAACTGAAAAACGAATTTATGTATTTTTTCTTCACAAGAATAAAGGACATGTAAAGAAACCACGAAAAGAACAACTAAACCATCTGAGGGACACATCATTTCACATTGTCAACATAAAACTATATAAGTATAATTTACTGACTAATCTCAGGAGTTAAAGACTATTAGACTATTTAATAATCTCTGTTCTAATGTTGTTTCCTCGTCACAAACAGACCTGGACTTGTGTTTTGTTTCATTCACATGTTTAACACAAACTCTGCACATTTAGGCTGAGTTCTTCTCTCAAATAGAAAACACTCTGTTCCACCTTGTGATGTCATGTGGTAATACAGGAAGTGCTCCACTGTGTTTTTAAACATCGTACTCCTTTGCTAGAATCACTTGGATAATTTCAACCCTGGAATTGCCCGTCTCTACTGAATAAATCATATCAATAAAAAGAAAGCGTAGGGTTTGCTCCTGAAATAAACCTCAAAAGTCAAAACTCTGATCAAGTGTCGTGTCAGCTGCCAATTGTCCCACACAAATTCACTTTAACATGAGATTGAGACTCTATTAGGATTTGTAACATGTTCGCAGTAATTTCACCAATAAAATATATTAAGTTTTGCACATTTCACTTTGGGCTGAGGGCTTTTTTTTTTTTTTTTACTTTAAATTTTTATTTTTTTTTTACTTTTATTTCTTTTAATTGAATTATTATACATATATACATATACAATATTATACATTACACACACATTTAGCAGACATTTTAGAATAATTGAGAACAAGGGAAATAAAAACAAAAAAACAAACTTAACTTAACATATGACAGTAAATCAAACCTAATAAGAGAAACTAACTGAAAACAATGAGGCACCAGCGACTGAATCGGGGGGTGAGGAGAACATCTATCTAATTATGAATACATTTTTTGTAGAGTTTGGTTATTGAAGTGGCCTTTTTGCAGGATAAATGTTGGATCGATTGGAAACAGTGGTTTATTTCTATTAGTAGTAATGGGAAATAAGGTTTTGTTTTTGAGAAATTTGCTCCATGGATGTGATATTTGCCAAGAAAAATAAGTAGATTAACTCGTTTTTCAATTTTTGTATTTTGATGTGAATAATGCATAATGATATTTTCTTCTTTCAGGGTTCAGAGTTTCCAGTAGGTGAAGCTAATGGGGGCATGAGAAAAATAAACGTCCGTCATTTGTCCCTTTTTCCACTAACTACTTCTGCCAACAGAGGGCGCTGCTGCCATTCTTATAAAGACAGCTATAATATTTGGGGTTTAATAAAATGTTGTGTTTCCATCTGAACTCAGGTGTGACTTTTTTGTCCCTCCTCACAGGAAGTGGCCCCACGTAAATAATTCTAGGGCTTCAGTTCATTTTCTCACTCTTAAAATCCTTAATTCATGAGGATATTTATTTATGATGATGGGGACGGTGCAGATGAAATAATGAACATTAAAGTTTGTTCTCTTATTTTATTAAAACCCTTTGCATTTCTCACGGTGATGTTTAATGACTCCAAAGAGGTCAGAGCAGGGAGATTAAATCCACGTCATGTGCGGGAAAATGCGCCCCCCAGAGGTTGGACATGTAAACAATCCACAAGAGGAGGAAGGGCTGGTCACGTGACTGAGACGAAACTGAAAGTGTTTGGAGCTGAGACGTAGTGTGAGACGAGGTGAGTCGCACTTTTGGGTTTTAAGTTTATTATGTCTATTATTGATTATTTAAGAGGAAGTGACTTTGAGATTCACTGACATCCACTTGTGTAGAAAACAGTTGTGCTCTTCAAAGAGAGAGTAACTTATATGTGTGGTGTTTTAGCCTGTATTAAAGAGTGCCACTGAAGCAAGACGTGAATAGGCCTAAGCTGAGCGAGTACAATAGACATGACGCAGCACGGTGAAACTTCGGGAATTCGTTGATTATACGTAAACATTTTACAAACTGTTTAGATTTCATCGCAATTCAGGACAAAGTGGGAACAGCTTAGATTTCGGGATTGTCCCGAATTTTTCTTGACGTTTGTTCACCATAAAATTAGGGTGACCATATTTCCCACCTCTACATAAAATAAAACTATCTATATACAAGAAAAGACTCTCCAACAGTAAGACCAGTCACTTTAGTAGAAGTGTTGTTCAAATGACTAAAGTCTTGTTTGAAATGGAGCAGAGTTCAAATGTAAAGAGTGAAACATGTGTGTCTGTGGTTTCTCCTCCAGGCTGAGCGAGCGGGGAAATGGCTTCAGGGAGTGAGCAGATAAAAGGACGTCCCAGGAGAAAAGCAGCTCCAGGGGGCAGCACTGAGGCACAGTGAGTCCACTCATTTGTCTTTCACCGCCTTATCTATTGATTTATTTTGGGTTCTGTGCATATGAATGAACACTTCTGTAAATATGCCACAATTAGCC